AACCCCCACGGACTTGGAATCACCTGTTCAGTAAAACGTTGTGAATAAAAATGGGTAAATGGCCATGCAACCCATAGGAGTGGAGGTCCTGCAAAATTCCATACCTCCACGTAGTGTCATAAGCCTTCCCGAGATCGAAGAACACAGAAACAACGTGTTCTCTCTTGAGAACGGCTTCCCTTATCGACATCGAATTAGGTGGTCCATGGTGGAGCGCTGTAGATGGAATCCACACTGGGTGGGTGAGAGGAACATATTTGATTCCAGGAACCAAACAAGACGAGCATTAACCATCCTCTCTAGGACCTTACAAAGACAACTAGTCAAAGCGATGGGACGCTAATTAGAAGGAATCTTGGGATCCTTCCCAGGTTTAGAGAAAGGGTGGACAACAGCCTGGTGCCAAGCATCAGGAAAAATATGCTCCTGCCAGATTTAGTTAAAAATAACCAGAAGAATAGCAAGAGAGGCAGGAGAGAGATGGGGCAACATCTCATAATGAACATCATCAGGTCCGACTGATGTACTACCAGACCAATGAAGAGCAAGTTTGAGTTCCACCACTGTAAAGGGGCGATTATAATCATAGAGATGATCGGCCCAAAAGGAAAGAGGCGATCGCTCTGCCCGAGACTTTATGGCCAAGAAGGCAGGGAAAGAAACAGAAGTGTTAGAAGCACGAGAAAAGCTTTGGCCGAGAGCATCAGCAATGCTCTGGACATCAGCAACTTCCTGGCCATTGGAGAGCAAGATAGAAAGGGGATGGGAAGCATACCTCTCAATGACTTTCCGAATCTTGTCCCATACAGTTTTGGAACTGGTGGAAGAAGAGGTGCTAGAAGTGAAGTTAATCCAAGACTCCTTTTGGCTTTGACGTCGAACCTGCCGAGTATGGGCATGGGCCTACTGATAAACAATGCAGTTAGAAAGAGAGTGATACCATCGGAAGGTATCCCAGGCCTGTTTTTGAGCCTTCCGTGCCTCCTGGCAGGCAGGACTTCACCATGGACGAGGATACTGAGGAAAACGTGTCAAGGTCTTAGGAATAAAATGAACAGCCTCCTGGACAATACAGTCAGTCACTGCCTCCACACAATCGTCTGTTGATGGCACACAGACGAAGGCAGGATCAAGTTCAGAGAGAGAGGTGAAAGATGGCCAGTGAGCCTGGTCCAGCTTCCACTGGGGCACTCGGGTCGAGTGGCATCGACCAAGGCCAACCTCTCTCAGTATGATAGGAAAATGATCATTGCCCCGTGGATCACTGTCGACCATCCAAGAAAAGCGAGTGAAATGTGCAGGGGAGCAAATCGAGAGATCAATGGCAGTGACAGACTGACTAGGTGCATGAAAATAAGTATATGTTTCAGTATTGAAGAGAGAAAGGTTGTGATCCGAGAGCATATGCTCTATGGAATGACCCCTCCCATCAATATCAGCACCACCCAGAGGGGGTTGTGTCCATTAAAGTCTCCCAGAAGTAAAAAGGGAGGTGGCAACTGGTCAACGAGAGCATCAAGGTCCGATTGATCATAAGTCTGTGATGGCACAACCCAAGGAAACACATATGGCTATGGCCTCCAAGGTTGTATCGAGGGATACAGATAAGGAGGGCACATGCTGGTCGACCAGCAGTGCCACCCCTCTGTGTACCTGCCCATCACACAACCTGTCGTTCTGGTACAAAGAAAACTGCCAAAAGGTGACTGTATCAGCAGGTTTCAGAAATGTTTCCTGTAAGGAGAGACACGTGGGATGATAGGAGTCAATCAAGCCCTTAATGTCATCGAGATTAGAACGAAACCCTCGACAGTTCCACTGTATCAAAGTGGCCATTTTTATGTAGGTTTAGGAGAACAGGATGGAGAACCCTTCAGTTTACAACCACGCCATTTTTCTTTACTAGATGGAGGTCGATCGACCTCCATGGATCCTGCCCTTCATCGAGCAGGCAGGTCTCTGTCATCAGAGTGAGAATCCAATGACTGAGGACGTGATCGAATGATTGTCTTGCATTTAGGGGCCAAAGAAGGACCCGCACAGACACCAGAGGCTGGTGCCCGAGGAGGTTGACCCAGGCAGTCACTGGAAGGAACAGTGGGGACAGAGATTGGGGTAGATGTAGATCTATCAACTCTATTATCCATGGAGGGCAGAAGACCCCTCACATGGCATGAAAAAGACTCAGATGGAGGCACGAAAAGGTCCGCCTGCACTCCCATTGTAGCAGTGGCGCATAGTGCAGTGGCATATGTCCGAGATGTAGTAGGGAACAATAACTTCCAAGCCTCAGGATAAGATATGTTATTAAGAGTCTTCAAACGCTGTACCTCTTTCTCCTCCACCCACTTAGGGCTAGACTTAAAGTAAGAGGGGTGGGAACCACTACAATTAACACAGTGAGGGTCCAGTTTGCACTCGTAGGCGTCACGGTCCTTGCCACCACAACGAGCACATGTCACAGAACCACAACAAGATGTCTTTGAGTGACCGAACCACTGACACTGAAAACATCAGAGAGGGTTGGGAATATAGGGCCGTAACTTACAGTTCAAATAACCTGCCTTAACGGCGGCAGGTGGACGTGGTGATGAAAACGTCAAAATCAAAACTGAGGTCGGCACCATAATTCCATCTTGACGAGTGGAGATCCTTCGAACTGCTGAAACTCCCTGGCTGGAGAAACCAGCAAGGATCTCCGACTCTGGGATAGACTTCAAGTCCCTCTTAACAATAACTCCTCGTGAGGAATTCAAGGAAGCGTGGGGAGTAACCTCAATGGGTATATCCCCAAAGGCCTTTTAATTCAAGAGGAGTTCACTGTGCTTAGCTGTGGATGTTTCAACTAAGATGTCTCCAGAACGGAGCTTCTTAACTGACTTTGGAGAGCCAGCAAGCCCCTCTAAGCTCTTCTGAATAAAAAAGGGAGACATTTGCCCTAAAGGTTTATCTGACAGTGAATGCAGGATCAGGAAGCGAGGTACAGGTGTACTTTGTGATTGAGACTGCTGTTCAGAGTCTTCTAGACGTGGTCGTTTACCAATTAGCAGATTTTTAACATTTTTTTCTTTGGAATGGGGGGATCCATAATTAAGGAGAGAGATTCAGTGCCCACTGACCCCACCCGCCATGGAGTCCTACGAGGGGACGCACTACAATGTCAAACAAGGACACTGCAGCAACGCCAGGGTTTCGTGAGCACTATAACCAAACACTAGTATCAGACACAATGTCCACAACATCCGTTGAGAATGCCCAATACTGGTACTCAGTTGACCCTAGCCCCAGTGGACCAGCCGATTGACCCTAGGGGGCCACCCGTCTACAGGAATTCAAGGCCAAAGTGGTGTGTTGCAGTGCCCCAGACACCACTCAACCACCAGGATCCTCTCCTCCCCTAACGGGTCGCCACGCACGGCAAACACGTGGGTGGATGTTTAGATTCCAGAGAAAGTAACTGAAAATACAGAACCTTCCCTGGGAGGTCCTCCTCACCACATACAGAAATCCATGTCGAGGGGTAAAAAAGGGAGGTTTTCAGTGTTGTTTCTAGAATAAGTCTGCTTTCTAAGGTGTTTTTTGCTCGAATATCTTATTAGAGTTTTGAGCAACCTCCTGTGTGATCCCTAATATGAACCACTATCGTGGTTCATGATACACTGGGAGAATGTCCAAAAGTAATTTCTACCCTGGTTCCAGTTGCAAGTGCAAGGTCAGAAGGCATGAAATTTGTATGAAATATGCAGCCTAATGGTTAACGTGTCGGACTGTAAAGCTGATCTTCCATGGTTCTCGTCCAGTTACAGTCCTCTTCGGGACTGTGGGTGTGTTATAAGCGTGACGTTCAAATCCCCCTATTTGGTCTGATAAATGTAGCCCAAGAATTTACGATGGGTAACGTTGTTTAGCTACCTTCCCACTAGTCTATCTCTTCAAAATTAGAGGCGGCTAACGCAGATAGCCCTCGTGTAGCTTTGCGCGAAATCCAACAAACAAAAAAGCAAAATAATAAAATTCAAACGTTGTAAATGCAGACACGATGGGGTTCCTGTTGAAGTTACAGCAATCAGAATGAAACGTTCGTTCAGAAATGTTAGAATCCAATCAAAAGAAGACAAAAAAAACAAAAAAAAACTAGCGAAGCAAAAGGAAAAAGTACGAATAAGATACATTGTTCTTCTCATTGCAACCACTTTTACTTTCTTAGATCGTTCAGTATTTACAGAATTAGATACGATTGGTCAGACCTTAACTAACGAAAGTAATAAGAAATGGTTGAAGAACATTTATTATTGTTCATACTAAATGTGCAGAGTACTCTAGATGTCACGCTCACGTTGAAAACTATTCTTGCATTGCAAAACAAGGTAAAAATAGAATGTTCCGAAGCAAAAGTAGCCTTGATGCTTTGGGAATACTTTTAATCAAGACCAAAAGAGCATATTGGGAGTTTCATTGCTCTTTCCGAAGCAACAGATCGAACCCTAAGTTTAAGCATAGTTCTATGTGAGAAATTAGTTTAGTGAATGTTTTCTTGTTCAAAGTTGTCACCAAAATATGTCAGTTTCTTTAATATCGACTTATGATTTTAGGGTTCAGTTTAAAAAGAAACGAAATAAACATGACAAAGTTTCAATTCAAATGAAAATGATTATACAAATTTGAAATGAATTTATACAATAATATTTATATGAATACAGAATATTCCTAATAAAAAAATAAACATTAAGCCAATTGGCTGGTTACAAAACAGATTAACCAATTGAAAGCTGGAAGACCAAGTATAACGAAAAATATAGAATATGATGGTTTCATTTTACCTTAACGCAAAAATTTTATATTCTTAGTGTAAAAAAAAAAACACTTTGAAAAAGAAAAAGTACCAATACTGTAGAGAAAATTCTGATTTTTTTTTTAGTTTAATTTAACATGAAAGGAACTTAATCTTAAGACTCTAAATTCAGAAAAAGTGTGAATAAGGAAGAGTAATATAAACTCACCGTGAAGCCGAATAAATCCTTCCTTTTCTCCAAACGAATTTTTGGCTCCACATTTATACGAATTAAAGTCTTCTTTCTGAAGATGACTTATTTTGAGCTTCATATTAAGGTTATAATAGCCGTATAATTCTTCGGTCAGTTGATATTTTGTGTTAGCTAGGAGAAGTTTGTCTTCGTTTCTCACCCAAGAGGTCAGAGGGCGCGGCCAAGCCTGCACTTTACATTCTAGTGTTACTTCATTTCCTGGAACGGCTCCAATAACTTGATTGGGTACTCGGATCTGAGGAGGAACTATAATAAACAAAATGTGAATGTGCATTTAGATACAGATTAATAATAATGGTCCCAAACACGTATTTAAAGCTTGAAGTAACTCGAATTCTATATGAAAAAGAAAACAAATATATCAATTAGTATTTTACTTAAACATTAAGGAAATAAATACATCATTATTTCTTTTTTAACCTACATTTCCAATAAATATGAAACTTATTTTTTTATGATTTTGAGTCATTTTCTATTTGTTTTCGACCACATTCCTTCTAGAAGAACACATCTCTATTTAGCATAAATAGTGTCAACGAAAACTTCAAAACACGTGCTCAACCGTACTTAAAACGGTTGGTTGTGATAAAGTGTCAATATTGCGTGAATAACAGTCCAAATTCCACCCGTTTTCACGTTATCTATAAATTTTACAGTAGAAACAATCAACTAAAACAAATGTCTTCTAAAATCCTTTATAGTTATATCGTGACCACTCAGTCATAATAACAACATTAATTCTACCCGTGCTGTGGTTCCGCATGACCAAGTAAAATCACCTGACAGCGAATATATAAAAATATCCAAGAATCAAGTCAGAAACGAAAGGCAAAAGTTTGAAGCATTAAGTGTTACCGAATGTTTGTTGTCTTCACGTGATGCTTGGAAGGACAATTAGATCAACCAGGGGAATATTGAATAGAGCCATATTACTGGAAAATTGGATGGCACTGCAAAGTTGTATTTTGTAGATAGCTGTGTTATGAAAGTATATTTTATTCAAAATTATAACTTATTACATTTATTTGTAGTGAGATGGCTAACGTTTAAAGTAAATGTTATTGATGTTTTTTGTGGTATAAGTTCAAAATTGTCACGAATGCTTAATTTTAAAATTTAAATTGTTCTAGACGTATATGACGTATCAAGTAATTACATTTACTTATATTTTTGGAGCACCGTTACATATCAAATGAACCCCAAATTTTGCGTAGTCTTTCACAATGTTTTTATATTTTCTTCCTTCATAGATATCATAACTTCTTTGGGTATCAAGTAATTATATTTACTTATATTTTTGGAACACCGTTACATATCAAATGAACCACAAATTTTTTATATGAACTTTTAGTTTCATTAATGAATCAGTTATGAAAATGGCCAAAAAATTACGACAATAGTAAAGAAAGAAAATAAAATCAATGAAAGATTATGCATATTTTGTATTTCATTATTTAATTATCCGGAAGTGAATTATATGAGATTATCTGACAATAAGAATTCAGTCTGTAGCGAAAAAAACAACAAAAAAACGTTCGAGGCACTACGTATTACTGCATATTTTTGTTTTCACGTGAAGCTTGGAAGAACAGCCAATTAACCATTGTAATATTAAACAGAACCATATTACTGGAAAAGTGCATGACTCTACAGAGTTGTATGCTGTAGATAGTTGTGTTGTGGCAATACATTTTACTCAGTATTATTATTTATTAAACTTATATGTTGTGATATGAATATCTTTTAAAGCAAAATGTTTACATATTAATATGAGTTACTGTAATATATTATTTAATGCATACAACTTAATACATCATAAATTACCGAGTAAGACAAAACCGATTTCGTGGCTTTAGAATCACTCCATAACTGTCTGAAAATGATTCAGACTTTAAGTAAAAACAAAGACGATATAAATCAATATATATATATATATATAAATAAAATAATAAATTACCTCACCCACTTTACAAAGTAAATGATAAAATTAAACATATGACACTTTAATAACTCATCAAACAGTTCTTCTCACATTCATTAGAAAAAAAAACTAAAACCTGATTCATTTAACATATTTCATAAGTACACTCACAGTTAATCTCCAACATGATCCGCTTGCTTACTGACGGAGGAATACCATTGGAGGCAATGCACAAGTAGGCTCCCATGTGAGTTCTCGTTAAATGGGTCAGGTTCAAAAAATTCCCCTTGACCTTAGCAGCTGCAAAAGTTAGATAACACTTGGTAGGATTAGAAATAACGTAAAATGAATTGCACAAAACTTATCAACAAGACGAAATAATAGTATTTTCAATGACATCCTGATATACATATAAAAAACAACCTTTTCTTTGACAGAAGTAGGGAAATTTTTGACCAAGTAAATGATGTAACTGAAGAGGGTTATAAAATCTGTATGAAAAGATATCGAGAACTTCAATGTCAGACATTTTCTAAGTCATGTCGTAGCAAAGCCGATACTGCCTTCTATACCCAGTACGGACCACAAACAAGGTATTCCATGTGGAAGGATACTTTTGTTTATAACGAGGGAAAGTTTTGAACAATTTGTTAAGGAGTTGGAGATTTTTATTGTTGAATGACCTTGGGATTAGTAGTGGTGTAATATATGTGTTATAATAAACAGAAACGAAATCTTTTTAATACTTCAGCAAGAATATTTGTGGTAGGATATTTTTATTGTTGAACGACCTTGGGATTAGTAGTGGTGTCATATGTGTACTATGTAAAAAAAATAATATGCATAGCTGAAAAGGAATCGAATATTTTACCAGCAGGTAAAACACTTTGATGTAATTCATCTTATGTTGAATATACCATGATATAACTATGTATTATTGATATTATGGTTGCGGTACAACTTTTGTTATCGTTGATTTCAATGCAAACCCTCGTGACCTTTTCAGAAATATTAGTTATGCAGCCAAATGAATGACTTATTTCAAACATCCTTTGTTCGAAGCCGAAACTCTGTACATTCGACATCCATTTTCATAGCATTACTTTAATATTTCCTGACACATAAACACAAAAATAATTTTCAATATGTTGTAACATATTCAAAAACAAACATGCTTATGTACATGCTGCTACTTCACGACACGTTCTCTTGACTCAGTTCTAGCTTAGATTTATAAAGCAAACAGTACTTATCGTCCTGATGAACGTCTGTTAGTTATCTTGCATATTTCTTACTGTCCTGATAGAGTTAGTAATCAGACTGAGCATGTGATCACATTATGATTTCTATATCAATATACATAGAGCTCATGACAAAACTAATTTATTGTAAAGATTTCTGGCTAGTCATCAACAATCTGCATACGAAATAAAGTCAGAATTAGGAACTTGGTTTATTCATACAGTCAAATCTTTGTAAACGCTCTGATATACATACCTCATGCTCAATAAAATCTTTAACAACATTGATTTACACGTCCAACACTCAATAAAAACCTTAACACTCTGAGTTAATGTCCAACACTCAATCAAAACCTTAACACTCTGATTTAATGTCCAACACTCAATCCAAACCTTAACAGCCTGATTTAATGTCCAACATTCAATCAAAACCTTGACACTCTGATTTAATGTCCAACACTCAATTAAAACCTTAACACTCTGATTTAATGTCCAACATTCAAATAAAACCTTAACACTCTGATTTAATGTCCAACACTCAATCCAAACCTTAACACTCTGATTTAATGTCCAACACTCAATAAAAGAAAAAGTAGCGACCGTGACTTTACATATTCAACACTCGATGAAAGATCTAATAAGAGCACTAACTCACACATTCAACAATCAACCATATTTTTAGCCTACTGATTTTATTAAAAGAAAAAAAAATATTTTTAAGGTAATTCAAAGATATACCAAACTTACCCTGCATACTTCTGTCGATAAAAAGAGTTCCACATCATCCTATTTAATTCATTATTTAACAAATCCCACCACTCGTAATTTGTGTTATATGCTTTCAAAGCTCAAAATCAAATAACTGTGTGAGTGTGTGTAATTATGTAATTAATTCCTACATGTTGAATACCGGTCATTTGCTGATTTTAGAGTTATTTGGTATCCTTTATTGGTATCCGTATGTCCTAAACTTACTATAAGTAGATGCGAATTTCCGAAATTAGTAAGCCTTTTCAATTCTTCCATCATTTTCGATAACACTCGCCAAGGTTACCTATCGTTTTTTTTTGTTTTTTTACCTGAATATGACTGTGCTCCAAATGATCCAAGATTAATATCCTTCCCGTCTTCTCGCCGCCAAAATATTTTAGGCTTAGGATAGCCAGTAGCCGTGCAATGAAGACTTACTGCAGATCTTTCGTTCAGTATTACATCGGAACTTGTTCCATTGTCTTGGATTGTCGGTGGCACTAAAACAAAATATCATAAATCTCCATAAAAGATTGCAAATTGAAGATTATATTACAAAAAATGACATGATTACAAAGCTTGTTGAAAACAAAAATCTTGAAAAACAACCAAAGACTACATCGCGAGATGTCGAAAAAAGCCGTAAAAATTTATAAAGAAACACTCTTTACTGATGTGTTAATTCTCTAAGTTATGAGGCATCTAAGAGAAACCGTAAACTGTTCAGAGAAAAAATAAAAACTTTTTAATTGCTACATCAACTATCTATGTTACCAGGCATTTACGTAAGGCTGTAAAAATATGTAGAGATAAATATCTTTATTGGTAAGTAAACTCTGTGTACTGTACACATTGACCAATTAATTAGACTGATGACATTCGAATTTGCTTGTACAGTATTTCAATAGTGACTGGAATTGAATTGTGTACACATATCTACCAATATTAAAAACTCTTGTCGAAAAAAAAGCCATAAAAACATTCAAAATTTAAGTTCGAAGTTTTTGACGAATTATGTTAGTTGTTAAGTTAAAGTATGCTTCTCTGAATCAAGTTACATGAATATATTTTATATTCAAGCATTTGCTTCTAGTCATACCAAAAATGCTTACGTGAAACTTATATCAGCTTTTATGTTAGCTTACAGTAAAAGAAAAAAAGAGCTTATGACATATACTTTAAATATTGGATTTAAAATCACATATAAAGAGGGAATATAATTCATCCCAACACAGAAACAAAACTATCATAAAGCTTTATATGAAAACACCAATGAATAGCCTAGAACTTCTCAACATAAATTTTCCAGAATAAAATTATAGCGACAAGTGAAGTTATTGTAGTTCATTGTTATGCAAAGTTCTCATTTCCAGAGAGATTCAAAGAAATACATAATCTTAAAATTTTTACCGTTAATAAGGTATTTAGAAAAATTCAAAATTTCGTAATACACTCCTGGGAAATCGCCTTAATGAAGACAGTATATTAATTTTCAGTGCTGTGGGGAAAAGTCCTGAAAAGCATTTCCATGACAATTCTCTACTTAGGTTTGAATGGCACATACAAGTAAGAGTGATAAACTTTTCAGTTTTCATCCTTCATGATAACATATAGTTGAGAGTGTATATTCACACAATTCTAATTTTGTAATTTCTACTGACTGTCTTTAATTTATTTTCACAAACTTTAAAGTAAATTCTTCTTTTCTGTTTCTTGTTGTTAAGCTCAAAGCTACGCAATAGTCTATCTGTGTGTCCACCACATGTATCGAAACCCGATTTTTAGCGTGTAAGCCCAAGCTTACCGCTGAGCCACTGGGAGGGAAGAAATTTCTTAGTTAATGGGTTTTTAATCAGATTTATACCTAATCGCTTCTTCCTGAACAAACGCTCTTGTTCTTTGTAGTCATACAAACGATTCAGTTAATTTAACATTACAATGGGTTTTTCCCTATTAGTTGGCCCGGCATTGCCAGGTGGTTATGGCGCTCGACTCGCAATCTGAAGGTCGCGGGCTCGAATCCCCATCCCACCAAACATGCTAGCCCTTTCAGCCGTGAGAGCGTCATAATGTGACGGTCAATCCCACTATTCGTTGGTAAAAGAGTAGCCTAAAAGTTGGCGGTGGGTGGTGATGACTAGCTGCCTTCCCTCTAGTCTTACACTGCTAAATTAGGGACGGCTAGCGCAGATAGCCCTCGTGTAGCTTTGCACGAAATTCAAAACAAACAAACAAACAAACTATTATTTACAACTTTATTTTGCAATAATCTGATCTGTTGTAATTATAATTCAACATCATATTAGACAGAACCACACAAGAATGACACAAAGAAAGATGAGGCTTACAACAAGGCGCCCAACCTGTTTTACAGAAAATATATTAACTCAGTAACATATCTACTGTGTATAAATAGAGTCAATAAAATAATTAAAACCAAGATAGAAATGAAAACACGCATGCCATAAAGATTAAATTATAAAATACTTAAAACAATTTCACGCGCCTTAGATTTTATCGTTATTTACCCAACACGTAAGAAAAGATCGTGACACAATCAAATCTAAGGATGAGAAATAATACTTACGTAGAACATCGAGGAATCCCCTCACACTTATCATGGGCTCTGTGTTGATCTGACACATGTAGTACCCTCGGTCATCCTCTTGGATGTTTCGGATGTGTAGATACCACTGGCGGAAATTGTTAGTGGATCGGATCCGACTATCCCTGGTGATGACCTTTGTGTCGATCGTCAGCAAGGTCTGAGTATCCAGCTTAATCCAAGCCACCTAACATGTTCCATAGTTGTACGCATTAGTCGAACGTATTAGCCAGACTTGGTTATATATTAACATATATTATATACATTAGTCAAACATGATTTAGTTTCTTGGCACCCTGTTGTTATACTATATAAAGATGGGTGAAAATATTAGGTTGTCAAGAAATTAACGTCGCGTTTTGGAACACTTTCCTTAACCACCCCCAAAAAACGTACATCACGTATAATAATTAAACGAACTGCCTAAACGTCACGTTAGTGTAGCCTATATAATGTGTAAAGTTTAATATACTCTAATCCCTTATAGTGATGGTATACGAAGAGACGCACATTGGGCATGTAATGCTGTTTGAATACAAGAAGGGAAACAACGCCTCTATAACCACAAAGAATATCAAAGAAGTTCATGGAAATGTTTTGAGCTTTCGTAATTGCCAACGATGGTTCAGCAAATTTCGTTCAGGCGACTTTAGCCTTAAAAACTGTGGTGGCAGGGGCCGACATGTTGGA